CCTGGCTAATTTTTTATTTTTGGTAGAGACAGGGTCTTGCTATGTTGCCCAGGCTGGTTTCAAACTCCTAAGCTCAAGCAATCCTCCTACCTCAGCCTCTTGAAGTGCTGGGATTACAGGCGTGAGCCACCATAGCTGGCTAATTTTTTATTTAGTGTAGTGACGGTGATTTTGTTATTTTTGGATTTGTTGCCCGAGCTGGTCTCTAACTCCTGAACTCAAGCGGTCCTCCTTTATTGGCCTTCCAGAGGATTAGGATTACAGGCATGAGCCACCCGGCCAGGCTGCTGTGTCCTTTCCTTATTTAATGTCCCCCATGATGATCACCAGCTAGGCAGCAGCCACCTGCTCAGGGTCTGGCCAGCTCCCAGCACCATGGGGAGGGCTTGGTGTTTGCAGAATGGTGGCTTTCTGCTTCTGCTTCCAGGGAAGGTCACCTGTGGGGGCCACTTCCAGCCTCTCCCTTCCAACCTCTGTCAGGCTCTGTGAGCAGAGTTTGACTGTGATGTTAAGGGCAGTTTTCTCTTTTTTTTTTTTTTTTGAGACAGAGTCTCACTCTGTCACGTAGGCTGGAGTGCAGTGGCATGATCTTGGCTATTGCAATCTCCTCCTCCCAGGTTCAAGCGATTTTCCTGCCTCAGCCTCCCGAGTAGCTGGGGTTACAGGTGCATACCACCACGCCCTCTAAATTTTGTACTTTCAATAGAGATGGGGTTTCGCCATGTTGGTCAGGCTGGTCTCTCACTCCTGACCTCAAGTGATCCACCTGCCTCGGCCTCCCAAAGTGCTGGGATTACAGGCGTGAGCCACCACACCCGGCCGGTTAGGGTGATTTTCCTGTGACACCAATGGCGACCACCGTCACGTTCATTCCACATCCCGCTGCACCAGGCTGCCCCCCTGCCCCTTCGTCTGTGGGTTTTTCTGGGGCTGCCTGGGACACAGGTGGAGGTCTGGGTTCCCACCGCCTCCTGTGCATCTCGTGCTGGCCTGCCCTGGCCTGGTTTGAACCAAGAGGTACCAAATGGAGACCTCGCCACTTTGTTGTGAGAAACCCCAGGACTCTGGTAGAGAACCTGATCCCATGTGCTGAGCGGAGCTGTTTCCAGCAGACAGGGGACTCCGGGCAAGTCATGCTGTGAAGCCTTCTCTCCTTACCACCCACAGCCGCAGATAGCATCCAGATAAAACCCAGCTACATTAAAATAACTGGGCTTTTTTCTAACTTACTGGAATTTCTTGATGTGCTCACAAATTTTCTCTAGAAAATGGAGCTAGCACCGAGGACATCTCCCTGTCCCCTACTTCTGTGCTGATGGCAGCATACCCAGGGACATGTGTCACTAATGTATCTTCATAACTGGGTGGACCCTGACACCCGCTCTCCCAGAAGAAATCTTCCCTGTAGTAGCTTTCCTCCTGTGGCTGCAAGATAAAGCTTTCTTTCTTTTTCTTGGCCGGGCACGGCAGCCCACACCTGTAATCCCAGGACTTTGGGAGGCTGAAGCAGGCAGATCACTTGAGGTCAGGAGTTTGAGACCAGCCTTGCCAACATGGTGAAACCTGTCTCTACTAAAAATACAAAAATTAGCAGGGCATGGTGGTGTGTGCCTGTAATCCCAGCTACTTGGGAGGCGGAGGCAGGAGAATTACTGGAACCGGGAAGCGGAGGTTGCAGTGAGCCAAGATTGCACCCTTGCACTCCAGCATAAGTGTCAGGGTGAGACTCCATCTCAAAAAAAAAAAAAAAAAAAGAAAAAAAAATCAGGCTGCCTAACAGGGAAAGATGTTACCCAAAGGGCAACTGAGAGGAGGAATCAGCATAGCTCATCATCACCATTTGGTTGCAAAGAACAGAAACTTATCTAACACTGTTGATGTGGAGAATGACCGATTGCAAAGACACAAAGGACCCTCCTGTGACTTACGGGCAGAGAGCAGAGCCAGGGCTCTCAGCAGATGGGAAGCTAGGATTCCCAGGTGGCCAGTCCCCCCGCCCACACCCATGTGGTCTGACTTTTCCATTGCACATCTGCCTCTTCTTTCTGCTCAATCATCCACGTGCACAGAACCCCTCAGGAACTGTTCCCAATGGCGGCCTGAGCCTTGGATGTGTATGAACTTATTGAGTTCTAGCTCCCAGAACTGTCTTCATTTCCAAAGCCAGCCCTTCAGGAGAAACCTAATTCCAACTTTCAGAGGAGACATAATTTGTCCTGGCTTGGGATCAGTGCCCATTTTCTGGTTTGGTTAACCGAGGCCGGGGAATGGGCTCATTCGATGATTCTCCAGACCAAAGGTCAGGCTGGTTCTCTAAGAGGGGCTAAGAGCTGGGAGGAAATGATGTACGTTAGAAGCCATGCTTTTCCCAGGCTGGACGCAGTGGTCCATGCCTGTAACCCAAGCACTTTGGGAGGTCAAGGCAGGCGGATCACCAGGTCCAGAGTTCGAGACCAACCTGCCCAACATGATGAAACCCTGCCTCTACTAAAAATACAAAAATCAGCTGGGCATGGTGGTGCACACCTCTGTAATCCCAGCTCCTCAGGAGGCTGCGGCAGGAGAGTCCCTTGAACCCGGGAGGTGGAGGTTGCAGTGAGCCATTTCACACTTGTACCACCCCTGAAGGCGAATGAAGAGGCTCATCCGCTGCCACACCACATGGGTTCCCAGTGGCTTTCCATGGAATCAGAAACCTGGATGTGAAGGTCAAAGTCAAGTTAGAAGTCAGAACCAGCAGATGAGAGTCTGAGAGTACAGGCCACGCTTCTGCTCCAAAGAGTTCCACCTAATGGCCTCCTGGTGGCCCCAGTGGAGTTTCAGTGGGCCTCCTGCATCAGGTGTCTCTTTGGCCCAGGGAAGCATCTGGACGGTGTTTGTGGCCTTCAGCAGTGTGGGCGTCTGCCAGTTCCTCCAGGAAGGTTTCTCTAAAGTGTGCAGTAAAGCCTAAGGGCTAAAAGCAAGGGCTTTGAAGCCAGGCAGGTGCTGGGTTCTATTCTGTGACTCGGGGCAGGTCACTTACTCTCCACGCGCCTCTGGGTTCTATTCTGTGACTCGGGGCAGGTCACTTACTCTCCACGCGCCTCAGTTGTTCAGTGAGATGGTTCTGGATCCTTCAGTGGGTTGTGCAGGTGCATCTGCAAGATGTGCATGGAAAGTGCTTTGCAACTTGTGCTTGAGACGGGAAATTGCTCAGAAATGAAATTGCTCAGAAAACAAGAATAATAACTACATTATTATTATAGTCACTCTTAGTTGCTTGGACGACAGATGACACAGGTATGTCTTCTGTCTCCCCACCTACTGCAGCACCAGCAAAATGCCTTAGACATATTTATCTCCATGTGTACCCAGTGTTTCGCTCCAAATTACAAGTGAGAACATGCAGTCTTTGGTTTTCTGATCCTGTGTTAGCTGGCTTAGGAGAGCGGTCTCCAGCTGTATCCATGCTATAGCAAAGGGCGTGATTTGGTAGATGCTTAGAAAATATTTACTCAATGAATGTATTATATAAGGGTGCCCACAAAGTCTGGAAACAGTCCAGGAACGGTGGCTCACACCTGTAATCCCAGCACTTTGGGAGGCCGAGGTGGGTGGATCATGAGCTCAGGAGTTCAAGACCAGCCTGGCCAAGATGACGAAAACTCTTCTCTACTAAAAATACAAAAAAGAAAAAAAAAAAATAGCCGGGCACGGTGGCAGGTGCCTGTAATCCCAGCTACTTGGGAGGCTGAGACAGGAGAATCACTTGAACCCGGGTGGCAGAGGTTGCAGTAAGCCAAGATTACACCACTCACTCCAGCCTGGGCGAGGAGTGAGACTCTGTCTCACAAAAAAGTCTGGAAACCGAGGCAAAAAGATACAAAAATTGTCTATTGATACTATACTACAACGCACAATGTAATACAGTGCGACACAACACAATACAATACGTAATGTAATATTTATCAGTGTAGTCTTCCTCATTTATAACACATGGTCCTATGCGTCATACAACATCATGCAACATTGCAGTGAACGTGGTGGAATAATGCAGCATTCCTGTCAATCCCTGCACATATGACCATGAGTGGTGTTGTCTCGCGTGATTTTTTTAAAGAATTTTGGATACAAGAGATACATGTACAGATTTGTTACGTGGGTATATTGAGTGATGCTGAAGTTTGGGCATCCATTGATCCCGTCACCCAAAGTGTGAACGTAGCACCCAACAGGTGGCTTTTCAAGTCCCCGCTCTCCCTCCCTGCCTGCTTTTGGAGTTTCTGTCTATTGTCACCATCTTTCTGCCTGTGTGTACCCAGTGTTTAACTCCCACTTACAAGTGAGAACATACGGTATTTGACTTGCATTAATTTGCTTGTTAGCCCAGCCAGAAGCTGCATGGTGCCATTCCGTTTGGCGGGCTTTTTTTTTTTTTTTTTTTTTTTTTTTGACAGAGTCTCACTTTGTTGTCCAGGCTGGAGTGCAGGGGCACAATCTCAGCTCACTGCAACCTCCGCCTCCTGGGTTCAAGCAGCTCTCTGCCTCAGCCTCCCGAGTAGCTGGGATTAGCCTGGCTAACTTTTGTATTTTTAGTGGAGACAGGGTTTCACCATCTTGCCCAGGCCGGTCTTCGTGATCCACCCACCCTGTGATCCACCCACCTCGGCCTCCCAAAGTGCTAGTATTACAGGCGTGTCTACTAAAAATATAAAAATTAGCCAGGTGTGGTGGCACACAGCCTGGACGACAGAGCAAGACTCCATCTTAAAACAAACAAAAACAAAAACAAACACACAGAAGCGCTCCAGAGGCTGAGGCAGGAGAATCGCTTGAACCTGGGAGGCGGAGTTTGTAGGGAGCCAAGATCGTGCCATGGCACCTCTGCCTTGGGAGGTGTGGGAACTGAGGGAGGGACGTGATTTGCTTGGCTGGAGCCTGGTCCATGCTAGAACAGTGCCTACCGTAGGGCTTCTGGTGCTGACGCCTCAATGAGCTTCTCTTCTTTCTCCCTCCCACAGGACCCCAGCCATGATAGGCTGCTCCTTCGTGGTCAACAGGAAGTTCTTTGGTGAAATTGGTCTTCTGGATCCCGGCATGGACGTGTATGGAGGGGAAAACATCGAACTTGGAATCAAGGTTTGTGACACGGTGTCCTTTCCTCTTGGCGTGTCCATGTGCGTGAGCAGAGCTGCTTGGTCATCCGTGGGGTGTATTTAAAGCTTCTCACAGGCCGGGCACGGTAGCTCATGCCTGTAATCCCAGCACTTTGGGAGGCCGAGGTGCCAGATCACCTGAGGTCAGGAGTTCAAGACCAGACTGGCCAACATGGTGAAACCCTGTCTCTACTAAAAATATCAAAAATTAGACAGGCGTAGTGGTGGGCGCCTGTAATCCCAGCTACTCAGGAGGTCAAAACAGGAGAATCACTTGAACCTGGGAGGCGGAGGTTGCAGTGAGCCAAGATCACACCATTACACTCCAACCTGGGCAACAAGAGTGAAACTCCATCTCAGAAAAAACCCCAAAAAACAAAAATTTCTTACAGCTGATGTATGATGTTTACTCTACCCTGTCCCTGGGGGATGCGTGAGCTGTGTTGTCACCCCTGCCCCCTTAGGTAGGGAAACCTGGGCTTTCCCTCTCTAAAAGTTGACTGTATGTTTCATGCCATGGCGACCCACGCTGGGCATTAGCTGGAGAAAAAACTCTCTCCCGTTCGGTTTTGTTCTCTCCTTAAATTTTTCTTAAATGATCTCCTTAAATTAATATTTCCAGGCCAGGCACAGTGGCGTATGCCTGTAATCCCAACACTTTGGGAGGCCAAGGTGGTAGGATCACTTAAGGCCAGGCTTTCAAGACAAGCCTGGGCAACAGAGCAAGACCCCATCTCTACAAAAACTAAAAAATTAGCCAAGCATGGTGGTGCATGTCTGTGTCCCAGCTACTCAGGAGACTGAGGTAGGAGGATTGCTTGAGCCCAGGAGTTCAAGGCTGTAGGGAGCTGTGATCGTACTGCCCCCAGCCTGGGCAACAGAGCAAGAGAGACTCCGTCTCTTTCTCAAAGGCATTTGTGGGTTGTGTTTTACATTTGCAGATTTGTTTTTAACAGCTTTGTGGAGATGTATTGACATTTATAGACTTTGGTGGCTCACACCAGTGACTTGGGAAGCCAAGTCAGGAGAATCACATGAGCCCAGGAGTTCAAAACCAGGCTGAGCAAAATAGTGAGATACTATCTCTACAAAGAATAAAAAATTGGTTCACATTTATAATAACAGTGGCGTGGGAAGCCAAGTCAGGAGGATTGCTTGAGCCCAAGTTCAAAACCAGCCTGGGTGACATAACAAGACTCCCATCTCTACAAAAGACAAAAAATTAGCCAGGTGTGCTTGTATGAACCTGTAGTCCCAGCTAATCAGGAGACTGAGGCAAGAGGATCGCTTGAGCCTGGGAGTTCAAGGCTTCAGTGAGCCATGGTTGTGCCATTGCACTCCAGCCTGGGTGACAGAGGAAGACCCTGTCTCTTAAATAAAAGAAAAACCTACATGTTTAAGGTGTACAGGTGATGTTTTGATGTACATATACATTGTGAAATGAGTACCACAATCAAGCTAACAGCCACATCCATTACCTCCCTCTTGTTACCCCTGTGTGGGGTGGGGAGGGGGTGAAAAGATTTAAGGTAAGCTCTATCCTTTTAGCAAATTAAAAGTCTGCAATACCGCATCATTAACTGCGGCCACTGTGCTATACATTCGATCTCCAGGAATGATTCATTTTGCTTTGCAGTGACCTGGCAGGAAAGGCCTGCGTGTGAGGCTCTGCAGGCTTGGTGGTGAGGGTGGTAACAGCTTGGCAGGCAGGACTGTCTCTGATCCCTGAAGCAGGGAGGGGGCTCCTGGGTTCTTCCCCTGCAGCACAGTTCTGTCCACTGACGTCCCTGTACCACCAGATCGTGGGTTCACGTAGTCTCTTCACTCCCTATTTTTGTTTTTTGTTTACCTTGTTTTGAGATGAAGTCTCGTTCTCTTGCCCAGGCTGGAATGTGGTGGCACCATCTCAGCTCACTGCAACCTCTGCCTCCCAGGTTCAAACAATTCTCCTGCCTCAGCCTCCCAAGTAACTGTGATTACAGGTGCATGCCACTGCACCCAGCTAATTTTTTGTATTTTTGGTAGAAACGGGGTTTCACCATATTGGTGAAACTTGAACTCCTGACCTCAGATGATCCGCCAGCCTCAGCCTCCCCAAGTGCTAGGATTACAGGCATAAGCCACCACACCTGGTCTTTATTTTATTTTTTATTTTTCTTTTTTTAATTTTCATTTTAGGTTCAGGGGCACATATGCAGGTTTATTATATATGTGAATTGTGTATTACCTATATTGGTAATTGACACCTCAATGAGCACAGATTGGTACACAGATTATTACCCAAGTAATAAGTGCAGTACCTGTTAGGTAGTGTGTTGATCCTCACCCTCCTCCTGAAGAAGGAGCGGCCACAAACAGACCTCTCGAATCCCAAACAGGGAAGAAAGTGGTGATTTATTTGGCCGGGAGTTTCCACGGACACGCGTCTCAAGAACCGAGCTCCCTGACAAAGAAAATCTTAGCCCTTTTCAAGACTTACAGTTCTAGAAAGTATGTGTGAAAGGGTCTTGATTCATGAAGCAGGCATGGGGTATGTGACTTAGAGGGGGTCTGGTTGTGTTTAAGCAAAAACAGTGTCTTCCAGGAAGATTCCTCCATACCATGCCTGTGATCTACAGGAGTGCGATTAAGGTTGGCGCCCGGCCTGCCAGCCTTTACTTCTCCTATTACAGTGCAGTGTACAAGTCTAGGGGAAGGTGGCCTTAGAAGCTCAGGAAAATTAAGGGCCTCCTTCCTCACCCCCACCCTCCACCCTCAAGTAGGCCCCAGTGTCTATGGTTCCCTTCTTTGTAACGATATGTGCTCAATGTCCAGCTCCCACTTATAAGTGAAAACGCGGTATTTGGTTGGATGTTCCTGTGTTAATTCGGAGGACAGCTCCATCCATGACCTCCTGTCTTACAGCGGTGCAGTGTTCCATTGCGTCCATGTCCAACCCTTCCTTTACCCAGTCTGCCCTTGATGGGCATTTAAGTTGACTCCGTGTCTTGGCTGCTGTGAATAGTGCCACAATGAACATACGCGTGCATGTGTCCTTATGGTAGAATCATTTGTGTTATTTTGGTGCTATATTCAGTAGTAAATGAGATTACTGGGTGAAATGGCTATTCTGTTTTAAGTTCCTTCAGCCATTGTGGAAAGCAGTTTGGGGATTCCTCACTGCTTGTTGATGGGCTGGAGTGAATGCGCCCTGCAGAGCCCAGTTTGCCCCGGGCAATCTCTCCCCAGCTTTGTCTCCCCCAGGACAATTCAGCTGCCCTGCAGCTCAGGGTAGGTCTTTTTTTTTTTTTTTAATTGTACTTTAAGCTCTGGGTACCTGTGCACATCCCGCAGAGTTATCGCTAGGTGCACACATGCCATGCTGGTTTGCAGTCTCCGTCCCCCCATCAGCTACATCAGGCATTTCTCCCAGTGTTTTCTCTCCCCAGCCTCCCCACTCCCTGCTGTCCCACCCCTTGCCCCCCACCCCCCAACAGACCCCAGTGGGTGATGTTCCCCTCCCTGTGTCCACGTGTTCTCATTGTTCAACATCTGCCTATGAGTGAGAACATTCGGTGTTTAGTTTTCTGTTCTTGTGTCAGTACGCTGAGAATGATGGTTTCCAGGTTCATATGTCCCTACAAAGGACACAATCTTGCTGTTTTTTATGGCTGCGTAGTATTCCATGGTGTATATGTGCCACATTTTCTTTGTCCAGTCTATCATCAATGGGCATTTGGGTTCGTTCCAAGTCTTTGCTATTATAAACAGCGCTGCAATGAACATTCGTGTGCATGTGTCCTTATAGTAGAATGATTTATAATCCTTTGGGTATATACCCAGTAATGGAATTGCTGGGTCAAATGGAATTTCTATTTCTAAATCCTTGAGGAATTGCCACACTGTCTTCCACAATGGTTGAACTAATTTACACTCCCACCAACAGTGTAAGATTGTTCCTTTTTCTCCACATCCTCTCCAGCATCTGTTGTCTCCAGATTTTTTAATGATCTCCATTCTAGCTGGCGTGAGATGGTATCTCAATGTGGTTTTGATTTGCATTTCTCTAATGACCAGTGATGATGAGCATTTTTTCATATGTTTTTTGGCCATAGTAGGTCTTTATTAAAAGTGTCACTTGTGTCCCTCCGTCCAGGGCATGGATATCACCCTGGAGTGCAGTGACCTGCCTCTTACAGTACTTTGAGGCATCTCCAACAGCTGGAGATGGGAGAATGATTTCGCCTCTTAACTTCCCATAGACCACATCATCCCGTAAGCTGCAAGGTGATCTTGACAGAAGCCTTGGTTTTCTGCCAGTTTTTAAAGTGGGAGTGAGCGCTGTTGGTTACAGAAAGGCAGAGGCCTGCGTTCGGAATCTACACAGAATTCTGTGGTTCCCATGTTTCCCATCAGTGGCTTTCACATCATGTGGGAACTTGTAAGAAATGAAAATTCCTGGGCCCTGTCCCAGACCTCCTGAATCAGACACTCTGGAGGGTCATATTAGAATTCTTTCCTCTAAATCTCATTCATCTCTGTATCCCCAGTGCCCACTGTGATCTCTGACTTTTAGTAGGTGATCATTAATGTTTGTTGAAAGAGGGAATGAATGGGAAAAAAATGAGGCCTTCGATCCCAAAAGAAAATTTTTAAAATGTCCCTGCTTTGAGTCAAGCTTGTCCAACCCACCTTGGCAGGAAGTCCAGCTCCCTGTGTTTACCAAGCCCTCCCCCGCATGCCCTTGTTGGAGAGCAACTGGTCTACCCCTAGGTTTAGCCAACTGCCTGGCAAATGTATGCCTTTTAGTAGAAAGGGGCCTCGGTGAGAGTCCACCTCTCTCCAGTCCCTTTTCCAGGTGTCCCTCTGAGGCTACACTGGCCCTAAGTGAGTCCTTTGTTCCCACTGCAGCCCACACGGTCAGAGCCCTGTGGGCGCCAGCATCTACTTCCTTTTTAGCTTCATGTGCAGGAGTCTCAACCAGGTGACTGCAGGGTTCCTGAT